CCCGCCACCATGCCCAGCTAATTTTTTGTATTTTTAGTAGAGACAGGGTTTCACCGTGTTAGCCAGGATGGTGTTGATCTCCTGACCTCGTGATCCACCCGCCTTGGCCTCCCAAAGTGCTGGGATTACAGGCGTGCCCAGCGTCTGTGGATTTGTTTTAAGTAAAATCAGGCATTTGAGTTAACTCCTGGGTGTTAAATTACTGATTTATATAGGAAAGTTGGAAAAGGTGGTCAGCGGTTAACACAGGAAGTTCAAAGAGTTTATGGTGACTCTGGAATATTATTTAAATTACTAATCTAAAGTGATTTAGTATCTGTTACATATTATTGAATAAAGTAGAAAGTGTTTTTGGAATTTTACTTAGGAATATTTAACTGAGTCAGTTAATACTCGAGAAAATTTAACTGAATCATTCATCTTGCATATAATACTGTGCAACTACATCGGGATGGCGTATTTGATTTTTAATTTTAGATTTGATATTTAATATTTTAAAAATAAGTGGCAAAGGAGAAGCTAAACAAGTAGGAAAGGGGTTCCTGTGCCTTCAGTGTGTTAAGAAGCCAGCTAAAGGGGAGTAAGGGGAAGCAGTGGTGTGATGCCAAGTTGTTCACGCTGCTATGACTCGGGCAGGGTCTAGGGTATCAATCCCAGACAACCCAGGCCTGGACTGATTGCTTCTGTTGGAAATTGACAGCTCATACTGGGCTCCCTCAGAATGTCGGCACTGCCACTGACTAATTCTGTGACCAGAGCACCTTTTATAGCCTCCATCAGCCTGTTTCCCCAGCTATAAAATGCTGAAAGTGAAACCTAGCTTAAATGGCTTTCTTGAGGAAAAGAAACACGTATCAACTATCTGGTACACAATAGGTGCCCAGCAAATGTCCATTCCCTTTCTTTGTTGTACATTCCTCTCTCGAAGTTCAGTGCTTTACCAAGGCATTCCCTCTCTGCCGTGACTTGCTTTAATCCACCATCCTGGTCACCGGACATACAGTTGAGGGAGAAGAATGCAAGGCACTGAGGAAAGTTCTGGAGCAGAAAAGCCTTTGTTTACAAATAACTTGGGAACCTGCTAGAGGAAAACTTGTATGACTTGAGGTCAGATTATTTAACATTCATATGGTATTTGCATTTTTTTCAGTTAGTTCTGTTTAGTAGAGAAAAGTAATTTAGTCCATAAAAGAAGT